TCTTCAGTTATACACAGTCTCAAGTTTCACGTCTTCTTCATCAATGGTCATGAGCGGAGGTCGACCGCTCTGATGTCAACAAACCTGGTCATATTTCCACCACCGATTTACATTAAGACTCATTTCATCAGCAAATGAAGTTGTACTCAAAATGATTCCCGATGATATGTTGACATTTACTGTGGAAAACAGGTTTAAGAAGCAATTCTGCAGCAGTGTGGTGGTTGATCAGAGCCTTGAATCAGAAACAGGTAGAAGCTGTTTTTTATATTTATTCACAAGATCCTCCGGACAGGAGGTTCCAGTAGAACCCACGAGGCCGTCTTCTCCGACTCTTCTCCGACTCTTCTCCGACTCTTCTTCTTCTTCTTTGTTTCCTTGTTGTCCTCTGTCTCCTTCTCCACGTTTACATTTTTCGTCGTTTCCAACTGTTCCACCTTTCGGCGTCTCTCTTCCTCGTCCTGAAAGCGGTACACCCGAGGATTTTCCCGTTACTTACTTTTTCACCAGCCGCCACTGTTTGTAACGCTTTGTGAAAGTGAAGTTAAACAGAACTTTATTTCTCATTCTGTTCAGGTGTTTTCCCGTAAACTGGAGGAAGACCTCCTCCGTCTGCCCTCCTTCCCACTAACGGCCATCGACGCAGAGTTCTCATCGTTCACAAGGTGAGAAGGTGAGACGGACTCCGACCAACACTGAAATAAAAGCTTTATATTATAAGTGTTATATTTTGAACCCCTGTCGTCGCCTCCTCTCTCAGGTAAGGAGCTGTTCGGTTTGGACAAGGTGCTGTGGATCAAGCTGCTGGAGGAAATGTTTCTGGGGATGCCCAGCGAGTACCCGTGATGCTGTTCAAATACTCAGATTTGATTAAACCATCATCAGGCACGCTCTACATATGATCTATTTTTTGGTTTCAGATTTCCGTAATGGTAACGAGGACTTTTCTGAATCCTTGAATCCTTCCAGAGGTAAGGAGACGCACTCTGGCTTCATCGTTTCCTCTCCTGTACCCACGTTGGTCTCACAACCAGAGAAAAACTGGAACCAAAATAGTCAGAGGTTTAATTCTTGTATTCGGAGTCCGTCAGTCACTTCCTGTCCTGTCCTGCTGTGTTTTTTTTTTTTTTTTACCTGCTCGCTCCATCGCACCCTGCTGTGGAAACAGCCTGAGTTAAATCTCGAACATGTGAAGCCTGGAGACGTCCAGATGGTCCGCAGCAGCTCGACTGTTCGTCAAAGACAGTGAAGCGATACAGTGAGAGGAATCAAACAAATACAGACAGAGAGCGCTTCTGCTCCTCAGCCCCAAATGTCTATTGTTTCTATTTCATACAAGGAAACCATGAAAAATGGATGATTTGCTTCAGAAACGATGATGGCTGACACAAAACATTCTTTGGACATGTTGACGTTAAGAGGGTTTATCCCAAAATGTAGAATTATTTCTTCTAAACTCACAAAATATGGACAGACATAATATTTAAATGTCAAATATCTTTAATTTACAATGAAAATGACACAATTTGAACTTCCTCGCTTGTCAAACTTGCCAAAACTTTCATTTTCAGAGAAAAGGCTTCAGAAATATTGCCTGGTGTTGTGGAGTCTTTAATTCTAAAAGACGTTATGCCTCTGTCATCACTTCCTGTTCTATCAGGTCCAGTTCCGAGGCAGACTTTATCTCCGTTTGTCTGCAGCATTAAACCAGAAGTGCGACAGATGCGTCAGATGTTCCGGCTGCAGACACATAAAGAAGAAGTCCTCTTTGGTGTCTCGCCCCTTGACTCTGCAGCACTTTGACGTGGGCGATGGGAGCAACCCTCCGCCTACCTGCGTCTGCTTTCATCCGTGGAGCGATGCTCGCCTGCGGAGGGAGGGTCCCGCTCTGTGTGTCCTGAAACACAGCGTTTTAACTAACGTAAGCACGGAAGGGCTGCGACGGGGCAGCTCCTGTGATGACTCAAGACGAACGTACGTGTCGTGGTTTGTGTCTTCACATAGAGAACAGCTGCAGAGGCTCGTATGTGTGTCTGTCCCACCGGCTCCTGTGGTGACTGAGTGTCTCTAATTGAGTGTGCTTGCTCAGACAGGAGGTCTCAGACAGTGTTGACATTCAGGCGGTGGAAGGCCACCGTCGGGGATGACAGCTGATCATTCTTCCAGCCAGTGCCCTAATTACCCGGGGATGGAGGGAGCAAAGGAGAGAGGCATAATCAGAGGGAGAGATGGGGGGGGGGGAGTGGTTTGAAACAACAAACAGGTTCCGGTTGCTTCCAATCGAGCGTCCCGTCCTGCTGTTCCGTCCATTCATAATGCACCCCCCCCCCCTCACACTGTCAGGTAGAGACGCAGCCACCACCACGCTGACTTCCTGCTCGCTCACTGTGCTCCTGTGACCACAGCGCTTCCCCCAACGCTCGCAACCCAGCATCTTCCACACCACTTTTCCAATTATACCAAAATCCTGCCTCTGTGTGTGTGTGTGTGTGGGTGTGTGTGGGGGGGGGGGGTTCATTGTCGCCTGAAAGCATAGACAGCTGTCTCTCTCTCTCTCTCTCTCTCTCTCTCTCTCTGGGACACACACACACTTTGATGTATGGAGTCAATCAGACTTCATTGGACAGTGTTGTGATAGCCTCAGGATATTAGCGAGCTCACTCTCCGCTCACCAGATGATAAACACTTTATGTGTCCACGGGCTTTTGTGCAGCAATAACAGCATCTCTGGCCTTTCTCACCTTCAACCATCCATTTCAGGAGAAACTCGAAAAAGTGTGAGCGGCGTGTAGCGGCGGCGGCGGCGGCTCGGAGCGCATGACTCAGAAGAGCAGGTGACCTGCCAACACACAGGAGCAGGTGAGTGACGGCATCTTCATTTCTTTCAGTCAACAGTTGAACGAAACAATGTACACACACACACACACACACACACACACACACACACACACGTCATGCATGTTTACAGGACACTTGAGATTCATAAGCTTCTAATGAGAGTCTCGTGGGTGGCAGCGTATCTGACCTCGATCACACACACTCTTATTGTCACACAACACACAGGA